CGATTAACTATCCATTGCACGTGTGCACAGTTTCAGGAGATAGTTTGTTCTTTTATAAAGTTTCAATGAATACTAATGAGTTTTAATGAATGAACCATTTATAATATTTAAAACAGAATTTTGAAGACAGTTGGCAATCATGCACCCCTTCTACTTATTGTTAGATAAAATTTCTTGAAGTATTGAACAATACGAGTCGATCACATTTCGTTGAGTATCCACAATTTTGTGATCATTGCCTAGCACAGTGGTTCTCATAGGAGTGAAATTACCCATTTTGGGTAATTTGTAGGTGTGATTTGGGTAATTTGTAGGTGTGATTTGGGTAATTTGTAGGTGTGAATTTGATTTGATGTTAATATTCGTCTCACTTTGCACTTGAAACAATCTTTTAACAGGTACGAGCGTGTTGCCAGCCCACAGGGTGCTGCAGTTATTGATCATGTCAGTGTCTACAATCCTGAACAAATCGACGACACAACTGCCATCATCGGACGAAATGGTGATATTGAAGCGGTTTTTGATAATCCAATATCGTTCCGAGAAATCCTCTATGATTCGCGACTCTCACCCAAACAACAGAAAATTTGCATAGGTAAAGTTGAAACGGTCAAAATGTCAAATATGAAATCACTTTCTGCGGTGTTGTCATATTGATGGTCAACATGAAATGATCGTCTTGCCATTTTGATCAATTACTCTACAAGAAAAGTCCCATCAAAGTATAATTCGTGATCAGCTGATGTGATATCCAAACATCTTTCGTATACAAATACCAGTAGTGTGGGGTGAGGAGAGAGAGTCAAAGGGACTCGTTTAGGGCGACAATCGTAGCTTATTGGATTCGTTTACTTCTATTGGTGAACCGTNGAGAGAGAGTCAAAAGGACTCGTTTAGGGCGACAATCGTAGCTTATTGAATTCGTTTACTTCTATTGGTGAACCGTCAGTAGCCATAAATATTGGTACTTGTTTTATTGGGATATATTTTCATTTCATTTATTTCAGCAACAGTATCAAGTGTAGCGTGTATCACCGTAATTATGTTGATCTCATTATTAGCGGGTTTTGGTAAGGTGCTTTTCGATATAACAGCCAGTGAGCAGAGATCAAAGCATGGTTCGTTTAATGCACAGTTCGTTGACTACTCGATTTTGCCTTATCCATCGAAGAAAAATAATCCAAAAAGATGAATTTGCAATTCCGCAATATTCATTACGACGATTTCTCAAAATTACTCGCAGTTGTTAGACGTTGACTTTATCAGTGCAGCATCTGCTTGCACTCTGTAGCCATTTACGGAATTATTCGGTCACTTTCATGGTTGCATTTTTAATGCAATTTTTTAGAGTGCCGAAAATGTTCTGATGGTGACATTTTGAGAACCGTTATTACGTGAAAGTTCGTTAGACGTTGCTCCGTTAATGAATATCGCACAATAATGCGATATGAAAAATGCGAAAATTTCAGTTCGGCTCAATAAATTAAGGTCGAAAATGATAGACTCAAAAAATGTATTCCCACTCGTAAATGATTAGTACTTGCACAGTAATGTTCAGGTCTCAAAATGATACCCAATTTACGAGCGAAACCAATCAACGTTTTATTCTTCAATCAGTTTAACAAGACTGCCAACATCGCCGAATATGCTCGTGAAATTGATGAATATCTTAATGGTAAGTGATACCCAATCTCTACTCATCAATAATTTGAATTTTCATCACTTTCGTCACCCCACTCACAACATCTGAAAATGACAGAAACGAACGTGATTTTAATCACGGCTATACGTAGAGCAATATGAAACAAACTGTATTCGCATGAAAATCATGCGAGCTTGTGGGTATGCTTGGATTATCTAAGCTGTAATTGCTTATGTTTGTTAATGTATTTACTTATTGGGTGCTGTCACGAGATC